TTTTTCAGTGCCTCGAGTCCTGTCCCATCCCCCATCCCCCCATAGTTCTTCTCTTCTCTCAAGCTCAACATCTACTCCTGCAGTTTATACTGACAATTTCTAATCATCTATACTGAGCCCCCTAGCCACGTGACCAATGGGCACATATGCTCCACTTTCCAAATGTCCCCTGGACCCATCCAAGTTTGCATACCCCGACCTCAGCGCTCCACAGCTCTCCACACCGCAGCCACTGCTCCAATAGCAGAGAACTATTGACCACAGTTCTTGGGACATTCTCACTGCCTCCTGCCTGAGGCTTTGCACACGTTTCCTCTACCTACATGTCCTTCTCACCCTGTCCATGCACATGAACCACACTTGTCCCTCCCAGTTTAAATGTAATTTTTTTTCTGTCTTGTTCCTATGTCACCTTCCTCTTCTGGCCTCCAGAGAGGGAATGTTCTCAAAAGATGACTCTCCTTGGTAATGTGAAGTGTTCACTGACATGTTCTCAACTCCTCCTTGAGTGTGAGCAACAGAAGGAGGCCAGGTCTTGCCGCTGTCACATTCCTAGCACTTCACACAAGGCATGCCAAAGGTTTACGAGGCAAGCATTTGTTGAATTGAACTGAACCCGGATTTTGATTACCTAGCAGAGTGGTCTCTCTTTTCAGAAGCAAAACACTCTCCTCGGTAGATTGATAACCATTTCTGATATCATGGCATTGTTCGGATGTTCAGACTCTAAGTAACACTATAACTGATTATTAACATCAACGTTATGTCCTACTTTATGGAGAACTGAATAGGGGCAAAGTCAGCGCTTATGTGAGTGGTAACCACACAGCACCCTGGTACTTCTTCCAGTGGCTGAAGTTCCTGGGACAGCATACGGCTGTCATCAGGTGTAACCTGGTGTTAGAAATGGGGAATCTAAGGGTAGAAGATGGGCGTTAGTGGGAAAGAGAAGAACATTTATTGGCATGGGCAGATGTAGTCTGGGTTGATGTCTTAGGATAACAGTAGTCAGAAAAATCTGGATTCTGAATCTAGGTATTTGTGTACTTCCCCCATCAAAAGAGATATTAACACAAAATCTAGCATTTTAGCTAATTTTTTTCAGTTGAGAAGGCTGGTGTCATGGAGCATATTCACATCCACACCATATTACAGCCTTCTCCTGAATGTTTCATTCTCTAAAACTCTAACTTCACATTTTCCCCATGAGCTGCACATTCTTCCTTTCCCCAACCCCCTGAGACCATCACCTCCCAGATGTTTCTATGAACTGCACTATTTTAGGTGCTTTGTGTAGATGGAAAAGATCACATAATATTTGTCCTTTGCTTTTTGGCTCATTTCACTCGGCATAATGTATTCAAGATTTTCCAAGGTTATATGCTGTATCAAAATCACTTTTTAAGTCTGAGTAATATTCCACTGCATGAATATCCCATTTTTTATTGTCTATTGATAAACATTTGGGTTGGTTTAACTTTTTGATATTGTGAATAATGCTGCTATGAATGAGTCCTTGCTTCCGGTTCTTTTGGGTATGTGCTCAAAAGTCCAATCTCTCATTCCAATGGTAATTCTACCTTTAATCTTTTGAGGAACTGCCTACCATCCTTTTTTTCCCACACTGGCTCTATCTTTTTACACCCTCATCAGCAGTCCAGGGAGGTTTCACTTTATTGGAGTAATGTGCTATGTGGCCTGTAATGGGGCATATTTCCCTGGGCTTCTTCTTTCTCTCCTCTACAAAATAAGGTGGCCAAATGTGACAATGTCTAAGGCTTTGTCCAGCAGTAAAGGAACTCTCTTGGCTTAATTAAGGCAGGATGTGAGGAGAGTTGGGAAGCTGTCATGATGGCTTATGATGCTGGAGTTGAGAGGCCAACCGTCCTCTTATGGCAGCAAAGTCGCATCGTCCTAGAGTCGAATGTCATTTTGTAGATGCAGCCGTCAGAACACTAGCGGGGTGTGTAGGGGAGGTCCCTTCCTGGGCACACACTCTGCTGAGCAGCTCTCCCAGCATCCCTACGTGATCTTAGAGGGCATACATCCTGAGGTTGCAGGTGAGGGAACTGAGGCCCTGCAGGGTTACAGCCCTTGACCAAGGTTACACAGCCAGCCATGGAAAGAGCCCACATGTGCCCTCGGATAGACCTCTTCTTTATCTCTCTCTCTCTCCCTCGCTCCTCCCCCTCTTTTTTTTTTTTTTTTTTTTTTGACAAGATCTCTCTGTGAAGCCCTGGCTAGTCTGGAACTCACATCAATCAGACTGGCCTTGAACTTAGAGCGATCCTCCTGCCTCTGCCTCCAGAATGCTGGGATTACAGATGTGGGCCAGCTTTTCCGATTCGCATTTCCTAAGTGTCCTTCAGGATTTTCATGGTTACTTTTCCATTGAAATGCTTCAGCCCTCTGTAAAATCTAGCCCCGTGTTCTCAATGGTCGCACTTAGGTTTCTCAGTTTCAGGCAGGGAGACTAAAATATACAAAATTGCCCCAGAAATCCTCCCAGTGAGGTTTTTTTTGTAGTAATTTGTGTCCGACAACTTTCAGGTGTCTTTACAGCTACTTTGAGTCAGATTCTTTGAAGGTGTGAAGAGGAGTATGCTTGCTGTGTGCCTGGAAGGTTTCCATGTAGTAGCGAATTTCACCCTAGCAGGAGCCCTCTGGGTTCCATTTCATCAGCTCTGCTTTACACTCCAAGAGATTCACCAAGGCCACTTCACCAAAAAAGGAGTGCTGGGAAGCAGGCCTGCCACCATCAGCCTGGATCCCTGCTCCTTACTATGGAGATGACACCCCAAGGAGGGAGTAGGTGTGACCTCAGGTGCTGCCTCCAGCCAACAGAGTAGCTGGTGTTAGAGAAAAGGCAAAGAGAGGGAGGGATGGGATTCACAGTCCTTCTGCAAGAAGTAGATCTGCAAGGAGACTGGGCACCCCAGTCGCATCACTCAGGCTAACGGGGCGGGGGGTGGGGGGATGGCACTGGAGGCTGTTTGCTGTCAGAACAACAAGTCTGTGACGATGTCCCTGATGACAAAGGCTAGTTACTGAAAATATTTACTGCGTACTTAGATTGAGTTTTTCTTTTGTAAGGAGAAACAGTCTTAATACTTCCATGGGACTCAGCCTCTCTTGGTACCACTCTCGATTCGAGAAAGTTTGGCTAAGAAAGTGATCTGCAGACTCCGATTTAGCTGAAGGAAGAGTTTCTAAAGGAAGAACTTCTAAAAGGGTGAGGGAAACAATTCAGAAAAGCAGATGCAAAAGCCATCTAGTCAGAAAGTGAAGGGGTCTCCAGACGCTTCCTAGATCCCGACATTTATCTCCTGCCCTCAGTGGTAGCCTAGTGGCCTTTATAGCTTGAACTAGCTTTTTTTTTCTTGCATTACAAATGCTGGGGTCTTTCTTTTATTAAATAATAAAAATATGGAAGCAGCCGCAGTAATGGAACTTGACACCGGCTCCATGAAAAGCCGTTAGTCAGACGATGGTGGCTGCTGTAGGCCACGGGGCCTAGAACGTCTTGAGAATCACAAGAATGGGATTCTGGGTCACAGCACTGGGAAGTAACAATGCCAAGCAGGCTCTGCTCTGAGCGTGGTGAGATAGTGTCACCACAGCCTCTTATCAAGGTTAACTGTGGTCAACCAGGTGAGTCCATCTCCTTCCAGGAAGTTAAGAAACTTCATGGCCTGAGTCTGCAGAGATAAGCCCTTCTCCCTGGCTTTTCATGCATAAAGTTATAAAAGTAACACTCCTCTTCTCCTCACTCTAAAATTTCTAACTATTTAAATGAATTGTTCTTATGAAAATTAAGCTAGACTGGAGACATTTGGTAGAACCCCAAAGCATTTTATTTTTACTTCTATATGACATGAGTGTTTTCTCAATTTGGGGGAGTGTTATTGGCTCCTGAGCTCCTGTTATCATATTATGAGTTGTGATGCACACTGACAATATTCACCCGAGAAGGGTTTCTGTGAGCCTTCCACTTTGGGTGAGGCACAAAATTCTCCAGGACAACCACATCTTCAGTCCCAGTATCCAGGGACCTGCACAGATATTCTCAAAACAGTAATGATTATAAGTCTGGAGCATCTTGTGTGTATGTGGGGGGGGGGGGGGTGGGAGGGATGACAAGACTTTCGTATGGCAGCTAATATTTACCATACTTAATTTTTTGTTTCAAACTCATGTAAAGGGTATCTAATATCACAAAAGCAAATTAAAGAAACATAAGTTGAGGATAATACTCATGGGATAAAAGTCCATAGACATCCTATAGACATTCAACAGAGGATGCTTTGCCTTAATTTTCACTAAAGCATATATTTTAAAATTCATTTTCATATCTCCTCTGCATATAGTAGGCGACAATATGAGTTTTGAACTCAACTAATGTGGTTACGGAATCATATATACTGTTTTATTTTCAGTCTAAGAGCATCAAATCCATGTTCTTTCTTACTTCAAAGTAAGGCATGGGGCATAGGAGAAGACTTTCTCACAATGACACCTTATCATGTTATACCAGAAACCTCGGCATTTGGTCTTGCGTAAAAAGATGACATGGTGGCCCAGAGATCTAGGGAGGTTTTGAAGTACCTCCTCTTTCAGCTCTGGGAGGAAGTTTCCTCTGTCCTGGTCCTTGGACATTGCCAACAGAAGCACAACTGACTGGGACTGACCCTCACTTGACCCTACTGTGGCCTGACTACATGAAGGTGGTATCTCATTTCACTTACACTTAACCTATAAGCACTAGAAACTCTTGACTTTGGCAATGACCCCCTATCACCAGTTGATATTGAAGTTGTCCCAGAATTAATGGTGTAAGAGGAAAACAGACTGAGAGAAATTCGTGCTTCTCCAGACTGAAACACCAATTTTAGTTGGTGGTGGCCATGTCCTCACAGAAGATATTAAGAAAAGACACAAGAGGCCCGTGAGGCCAGCTTTTGTGTGATAGGCCAGAAGCCGGTTGGGTAAGTCAGACTTACAGATTTGAGGATTCCTGTGGCATCTTCATGGAGCCAGGTAGGGTAGACAACTTCATCATTTAGTATGGCCTCGAAAAGGTCGTCTTCATTCTCCGCCTCAAAGGGGGCGTGTCCGCAGAGCATTTCATAGAGCAACACACCCATAGCCCACCAGTCTACTGCAGGTCCATACAGCATCTCCTGCAGGATCTGCACAAAGGGGGCAAGTGAGAGGTGCCTCGTGCATGTGCTTTTACAAAGGTGTGCGTCTTGACTAGGGATTAGGAGATAGCCAAACAAAAAAGCAAGTCTCTTGTGCTGGCATGTATGTTTCATTCACCTCCACAGAGCATGTGCTTAGGTGCCTCCTCTTCTAAGTGGTCCAGAATTTATGACTTGCAAGACAATGACACACACATATTCCAAACAGGGATGGCTTAGAACTATCTAATGTGGAGGGGAAAAGGACACTAGGCTCATTCATCCATAGGGAGGAGATGTAACTACTTTTCTTTAGATTTGCTACAGGGGCCAGAATTAAATCACCGGGTAGAGATTAAAGAGCAGAAGAAATAGCCATGAGAGAATCAATAAAAAAATCTGTAATATTTTTAAACTCTGATTTAGATGCATTGTGGGCTTTTTCAATGGCCATTCATTCAACGATCTGCTTGCTGTCTGTGAGCCTGGAAGTGTTAGCTTCAGCCCTGCCCATGACGCTGCAGCACAGAATAACAACTGGTCATGTTTCCATTCAGGGCTAAGCGGAGCTCCCATTTCCAAAGCCATACCGAGCAGGTGCACTCACCTCCGGAGCAATGTAGTCGGGTGTGCCACAGAAGGTGGCTGTGGTGACCCCATTGCAAATGCCCTCCTTGCACATTCCAAAGTCGGCCAGTTTACAGTGGCCTTCGTGGTCCAACAGCACATTGTCCAGTTTCAAGTCTCTGAAAGAAATCAAGAACACATGATAGGCAGACAGACCACAGTGGCTACATGGGCTTTCTGAGCATACTAAAACATTTTCTGAACAAACTTCTTTGGGTTATTGGTTTAAAAAATAAATGTACACCAACTCTCAGAACGTGCATCAGGGACCCAAGCAGGTGAGTCCTCAGGAATGGGCTAACCACATAGAAGAAAGGAGGCCACATTTTAGGTACTGAGGGAAGAATGTGACTTTCTAGGTTTTCCAGGTACTTTGTACCCATAAGAAATCCACCTACCAACACTCCATCTTCCACATTAGTACCCATTTCTGCCCATCGGCGTTCACTCAGTGGTCATTCATGGAACAAGTGGCAGCTGTGTTCCAGGGACTATGACAGGCATTCAGAGTTTGGACAATCATAGCCAGGTGGGGCGCACACCTGTAATTCCTGTACTCTGGAGGAAAAGGCAGGAAGGTTCAGAGCTTGAAGCCAGATTAGGCAACATAGTGGACTCACTGCCAGCCTGGGCTACAGAGTGAGAACATGTAGGTATGTCTCAAATATGTTCACAAGGAGCTCACAATGTAACAGGAGCACACAAAAGGGGTAGACCTGCAGCTCCGTGCAGAAAGGCATCTGGTTAGCTTGGTTCACTATTATGCCTAGCGCTGGATCCTTAATAAATATTTGCTAAACATCTGGTGGGGGGAGAGAAGGAGAAGGAGGGAAAGAGGGAGGGAGGGAAGGAGGAAGGGAGGGAAAGAGAGAGGGAGGAAGAGAGGGAAAGACAGAGGAAGGGAAGGAGGAGGGAGAGAGAGTGTGTCACATGCACACAGATTAAAAAAAATCCATCACTAGATCCTATCAGGGAGACAGCAGAAAGAGAAACTCACTATTGTGAGAGAAACAAGTCAGAAAATGAATTCCTTCCGACAGGAGGAGAGGTAAAGCTTCACAGTAGAAGAAACCCAGCCAGAGTCTCCCGGGCTGAGGAGGGTGTGAGAAGGTTGTGGTAGCAGACGGACTGAACAGGTGCCCAGCGAGCAGCAGGCAAGGAGGTATGGACGTGCAAGTGCACTCAGAAGACCACACCCTGGAGTGCAGCCAGCCGGGGAGCGCAGAGCCATGAAGAAAATGCCACGGGCTGGAGAGAAAGCCAGGTCTTTGAAGCCAGGACAGCCTAGTGCCACGTGAAAGAATTTTGCTATTTAATTACTGTGTGGAACTGGAGCAGCAGCCTGGTTAGGGAAGAACTGGTTCCCTGCAGAACAGGAGGAAATCAGTTGGGGCAGTTGGAACATCTAGGGGGAGGCTGACACCTTAACCAGGTGGTGGTGATGGAGCAGCCAGTCAGGGGTGGGTGGAGGAAGGGCAGGGTAAGCAGAGATGTTGTGAAGCGCAATCAAATCAGCAAGGGCTGCAGATGAGGTGACCCAGGAAACAGCAGGAAGACCACCCCCACCCCCTTACCCCCACCAGGTTCTGTCTTAGAGCCAGCAGGTTCTTGAAAAGGAGACAGCGTCTGTGTGAGTACACTCCAGGCCACAGAAGGCCTAGACATTGGGGATCTCAGATAAAGACCCTTTCTACCCCTCTCCCAACCTCTTAGAGAAGAAGCCACCGCAGGGAAGTGGATGGTTTGGAAAAAAAAACAACAACCCTCAGTGTAGGCAAGCACGCGTCTCATTACGGGCTGGCGACAGTAATCAGCAGGCCAAAGGCTGTGTGCTAACACAATTTCTCCTGGTACAGGCTCTAGCATCCAGCTGGCAATCTCTAGCTACAGGCTCTAGCATCCAGCTGTCAATCACTAGCCACAGCCTGGGCACTGTTACCAAGGCAGGCTGCAGCTAGCACAGGCTGGGAAGGAGACCTGTCGACCATCACGGGTTCCTGCCCCCGGGCCTAGCAAAGAGCATGCGGGAGATGTGGATGCTTCGCTTTTTAAAGGAATGATGTGCTCAGAGGCAATCCACAGGACGGTCGGCGGCGGGAAGAAGGTAGCATATCAAGCAGGGATGCTGGGTGACGTGGAGATTTCCCAGAGCTGGAGATAGGCAGGTAACTGCCAATCAGTGCGATTACTCTAGCTTTGGGTCACTTGACCCCCCTCCCTGTACTGTCTTCGGTATATGGAGCTGATGGTTCTCCAGAGTCTTACACTCACAGTAGGTGGGTCATGGGCCTGGTTCCCTATCCCTGATCTGAGAATTGGCCCCTCTGGGTTGTGAGGTCAAAAGGAAAAGGCTAGCCTCTGCCCAGCTTGGATCACCTTGTGGCTCAGGAGGGAAGGGAAGACGGAACCAGCGTAGCCAGCTGTGGTTCCCTGTGAGTTGGCACAACCCATCTGCTACGCCTTACAATGGCGGTCAAAGGAAAAGGCCCAGGAATGAAAATGAAGCCCCATTGTCCAAGAATGCTTTACAGAGAACACAGCGGAGCTCTCTGGGCTCAGGCCTTCCTTCTGCTCCTGTGTTCTTTGACAGCTGTCTTCGGGGTCAGGGACCCAGGTGTGCTGAGTACCTTTGTGCCCACCTCAGCAAGGCGAGCTTCCTCCGCCCCGAAGCCAGTATCACTCCTATTTCACACAGAAACCTCCTTCCACAGAAGCCACTGTTTTCAGTGGACTGTGGTTACGGATGCCGTCTCCTTTCTGCTCCCCCAACCCCACCCCCTGCCTCCAGTGCCCAAAACACGAGCACAACAGTATGAATGCATACTGGACTCATGGGAGCACTGTGGTTCATGGAGAGTGAAGATGACATCGTTTTGTCACACGAGGAGGCCACTGCCAGGCACATGGCCTCGCCTAGCTGTCCACCCTGGTTTCTGACACAGGAGGACCCCTTTGACACCTGTCACCTGGCTCCTGTGAGATCAACAACAAAACTCTAGGGAGGCGCCCTCTGGCTGAGGAGAGATGGCCGAGGATGTAGGTACAGGAGACAGCAAGACTACAGGGACCGGGCCTGCGAGGCTGGCCTTACCCACACCACGTCCCAGCCCAGCAGTGCAGGCCTGTGTGGGCCTGGACCCTGAACACTCTCACTTACATTCCCAAACAAGGTTATTGGGTTTCTGAACTTTCCTGAAGCCGTTATGCCTGCTGAAGTCTCGAAAAAGGTTCTTGGGCAACAGCAACAAGTGCTGACAGGGACCCACAACGGTCTTTTACAGCCGAGCGGATTGCTCAAGAGGGCTTGTGACTAACATCCCAGGTAGGCGGAGGCTTCATTGCTTATTACTCAGCAGCTGTCATGGGTGGCGGGATCGGTGAAGGAGGGAAAAGTGCTTGGTCATCAGCTTGCCAGGCCTCCGTGGCAATCTCCTCCACACATCGAGTCCTGGGACAGCTTTTGGGTGACACACCTGGGCCAACACAGGGGATGTGACTCATTCTGGTCATAAGATGCCCAAGGCCACAAAGGTGTGTGTGGGGGGGGGGGCGAGGGCGGGTACACAGCTTGAACCTGACATTTCAGTCTAATTTTAGGCATTTTGAGAATGTGTGAGTCCTGTGGAAAATGCTGTAGTGGGTTTTTACATCAGGTGTTACCAAATAATGTCAAAAACCAAACCAAAACAAAACATCTCACATTGGGATTCCAAGATGATTCCATTAATAAGCATAATATAAAATCAGCTCTGCCCTGAGCTCAAGAAGCTCATATGTCCACTATGAAGTCTGTCCTGCTATCCTGAGACAGACATACTAAAGTCAACTCTGTCTTTAGACTACTCAGTTCAGACTTCTATGGCAGCACCTCTGCTCTGGCTTCTAGAAGGCTCTGTCATGCACCCTCCTTTCCCTTACCAAAACCCAAGCCTAACTCCTTCCCAGGAACCTTACTCCTTTCGTTCAGGGCAGCCCCAGGTGCCAAAGGGGGAAATGGATGGATTCCAGATGCCTAACACGGGCTGCCCTGAACAATTCAGAGCCTGGCTGATTTTTTTTTAGGGAGAAGGAAAGACGTTCCACAAGACTCACTGAGACCCTTGTTCTGAAGTAAGTGAGCGGCATGGCCATGTGTCACACACCTCAAGACAAAGTCCAGAGGGAAACTAAGAAACCTGAAACAAAAGTTCAAATCCCTCTTCTGAGTGAAACTGGAGAAAGGAAATTGATCTGGAAGTAGAAACTCGGGGCCAGGAGGGCTGAGCAGAGCCATTGTCCCTCTGCTGGCTTGCATCCAGAAGGAAGAGTTGAACATTAAGAAGGCAGTCAAACAAACCCAGCACTACTGAGCCATGACCAGCCACGGCAGTGTCCACACTGGGAATCAACCACATTTTTATTGGAGTGAGGGGAACCAAATGCAAAAAAAAAATATGACTCCATGGCTTCTGACTGGAACCTGCAAAACCTCAGAGGTCAGATTTCGGCTTTTGGAGCTTCCTCAGCTTCAGATGCCAACGTATAACACCACACCAAACTTAACACAGCTACACGATGAAGATTACAAGTTCACACAGGGCAGAGGCTGAGGTCCTAAGATGCCAAACATACAATGCCAGCTCACCAGTCATTAGCTCCCTGAGCACTGGTATTTAATAGCTAAGGCTTTTGTCTGGCATGCAAAGGCAGGGAGGCAGAGTTATTTTATCCTCTCCACTTGCCTGAAAGGTACATTGTTCTCGCTGGGTAAGCAGGGTTACTTAAAATGCCCACAGTAGTTTCAGAGAGAATTCCCAAGTGGTTGAGGACAAAGAAGATTCAGAAACTGGATTTATTTTGTTTCCACCCTGAGCTGTCCCCCAGAGAAATAAAACAGAATGGTGTTGAGTCCTTGCTTAGTTCACTAGGGCTCGGTTGTCCCTCCAAAAGAAATAAAGAAAGTGGGCAGGGAACAGGTTCCTGACTAAGAATGAACCTAGGGAGCTCTTCACAGTCAGAGTCTATTCACTATTGGCAATGTGCATGTCTCTATTTATTGATGAAATTGTCACAGAAAGCCAGAGGTATAGGGACAATGCAACTCCAAGCTCATAATTCACCAGCAGCAGCTCCTGGTGGC